AGGTAGGGTGTGTCTTTAGTCTCCTTGAAATTGCATATTTTTTAGACTAAAATATGTCTTAGTAAGCTTGATAAATTACAGTGGAATTCTATGGTATTGAAGTAGTAATTTATGATTCTTTAGTTATTAAAATGTATATATATATATAAAGCCTAAAAAAAATTATTGTTTCATATCCTCCACGTGCAAAATGTTTAAAGGCTTAGCATCTTACGTCTAGCAGCAACCAAGTACAAAGGTCGTAACTAGAAGAGACACTTGTTTGCTTTACTTCTTTATTTATTGTTCTATATTTTAAGAAAAATAAGTTTAAGAACTTATTTTAAAATAGCAATAATCTATATAATATATAATAATTGAAATGTGACTATTTTACAAAATACTAGTCTACTAAAACACAGCCAAGACAAGTTACTCTGTACAGACCAAAGAGTTAGGGGGTATTGTCTCCTTTTTTGCATGCTATTAGTATATGTTCTTTGGTGCATTATTTAATCAAAAATTATTTACTACAATTATTATAAAAAAGTAGGCTTAAATGTCATTGACAAATAAGAGCAAAAAATAAAGAAAATTGGGTAAGTACTTTATTTATTGTTTTTAATATTTATTCTTTATTTATTATTATAAAAGTAACTAAAATCTAAAAATACAGGTCTTATAATAATAATAATAAAGTTAAAGTGGTTCATGAGAAACACATGGAAGCAGCTCGTAGTAGCTCGTGGGTAATGTAATTCAATAGCATAACATGACCTGCACATTCGCCAAGTGATTTACAACTTATAATGGCGCGGATAGTAGTTAAACATTGTTCAAAGGGCAATAAAACAATAAAATCTAATTATAAATATTAGGTCATCAAGAAATTAATGTCTTTTTTTTTTTAGATTAAAAAACCCGAACAACTTATATATCAAAACAAAACATTTATTAAATGAAATGGTCTCCATTCTTATCCATAACACTTTTCCATTTTACAATCAGGTTTTTAATGCCCTGATTAAAGGAATTACTTGACTTTAAAGCAAAAAACATGTCGATGTCCTCTTTAACACCTTCCATATTTGCATACGTTTTACCATTAAGATTGTGTTGCAGTGAATGAAAAAGATGGTAATCTGATGGTGCCATATCTGGAGAATATGGTGGGTGGGGGAGAACTTCCTAACCCAACTCTATAATCTTGTATTGCATAAAATGTGCCAAATGT